CGAGTTAATCTCAGGAGCAATGACCTAGTGATTGGAAATCGGAATTCAAATTTACTGATGTTTCCACCAGGAAAGTCACAGCAGCCGCCTCAAATGACGTGAATATTCAGAGGAATTCTTCGTGACACCATCGACTGAAGGAGATGGATGGACAGCACAGCGGGATCCCGATTTTAATTGCGTGTCTGAGCGACTGTTTATTATTTGTGTTCGGTAAACATGACTGAAAGGATTCAGCGTGATAAAAAGAATATATTTGCACAGATAACGTTTGTTTTAAATATATGTCAGACTTTGGTTCCGCGATAGTTGCTATGGAATTACGGGTGCCTATCTCAGTGGAAATGGACATCGACATCTGGGATAAGATTGCCTATTTGGAATCTGAGGTAAGCACAACTATTGAACGTGGAGTAGGTAGTGTCGTCAAAGGTTAACTGGATCTGTTGTCTAGTCGCTACTTGTTAGAAGAAACACAAAATCAAAAATTTTAGACAATTTTTAAAATTGCATGTTTTCAGAACCTTTGAAAAGACTTTAAAAAACTGAGAAAAATAAATTTTCTATACTCTTTTATTTTTTGAAAATGTTGAAAAATTTTGAAATTAAGAATTTTTTTTTTCAAAATCTTGAACACCCCGATCATTGCCGGACCCGTTCATTGCAGGATCCTGTCCCTACCATGAAAGAAAAAATTAACGAAAATTTTCGAAATTCAAGAAAATTATCAAAATTTTAAAAAAATTCATAAATTTGCCATAAATGAAAAGAAACATATTGTGAAAAGTTTTGATAATTTGAAATTTTTCGAAGATTTAATTTGTCTGGGTGCTCTGAACAAATTTCAACATTTTTTAATTTTTTTAATTTTGAAAAATTATTAAATTTTGAAAATCCTTTCTGTCCCTAACAACCAGTCTATGCCGGACCAATACTCGGCCCCACACGCTCTCTGTAGGATCCAGTCTCGCCCATGAAATCTATCGAAAATTGTCGACGTTTCGAACAATTTTCTAAATTTCCAAAATTAAAAAAATGTTCATAGCTACACAAAAACCGCAAAAAAATAAAAAAAGTTGTAAAGTTTTTGAAATTGACATTTTTCGAAATTTTTAATTTTTTCTGGGCTTTTTAAATTAATTTCAACTTTTTTATAAGGCAAACTATGGCAACTACATGAGGTTAAAAGTAAATTCTGATACACTCAGGTATAAAAGTGAGGTTATGGGACGTTCTGAACTTCACAACCGCTGCATAAAGCAAAGAGGTTCAATACGAACGTCCCGAGTGTGGTTATAACCATACACAAACCTTGTCTCTTTGACCGAGTTTGTTACGTTATCCCAAAAACTTAAGACATAAATACACACGTACATTACATCAACATATACTGGATATTATCATCACGGCTTTTATTAATGATTTAATAGACTGCACGAAAGATGCTTAGTGTGAATAAATTATTTATATAAATGTTCTACTTAGTGAGTTACATTAATTATTCCGATGCTTAGATACTCGGTTACGTAGGGCATTAATTAAACCGTTTAGTCAATTTATGGATCTGCTGGTTGCTTCGTCACATGTCCAAACACTTCATTTTTATAAAATATCATGAGCTGTTAATTTCAGCTGTCAAGTCATTAAAAAAATTAGCTGTCTTAATATCATATTTGATGCTATATGAAATTAAATAAAACGCATCTTAAGTATTAATAAACAAATCCGTGACAGGGTGTCAGAAGTGCATCTTTCTGCTGACCTAAGAAGTAATTCGACTCTTTTAAGACTGAACTGCAGACATAAGTAATTGCACTGCATTGTAATGAGAACACAAGCAACTTAAGTTGAAGTCTAGAGTGGCCTATAAGAAGTTCGCAGTTTGCGATGTAACAATTTCGCAGACCAGAAGCCGGATTTGAGTGCCAATTAGGTTTACATGCCTGCTTTAACCATGAGCAACTCCTTTTAATTTGGCATAAAACGTATGAATAAATTAACTGATCTTAGTCGGGCATTTTCAGAAAACCAGAATCTAACAGGCTGTGGAAAATAACCGATAAGAGGTGGGGAAAAGACGAATGAAATGCAGATTTCCGTTCTGGTGTTTTGAATTTAAATATATCATTCCTCCATGAGCCGGGATAGCTCAATCGGTATAGTGACTAACTACGGGCTGGACGACCGGGGTTCGATCCCCGACTGGGGCAGAGGATTTTTCCTCCAGCCTCTGCGTCCCG